AAACTCTTGTTCACTCACCATCATCTCTCAAACTTCCAGTTTGTGTGTTCACCTTCACCACTTGTTGAGCCTTGCAGAAAATTGTTTACTACTTATTTATGAAATGGGACAAAAAGTTTTATTTGCGTAAATTCAAATCTCTCAGAGGAAGCTACATAAGTATTACTAAACCTCCAACAGGTGATGTAGAGTCAGGAACTTTGCAAAAAGAAAATATCGAAAAAGTATGGAGAGAAATTGCACTGCAGAGCACGCTCTAACCACAGTATTTTAGGGATCTGATGCTCTTGCTACGCTGACGGTTCTTTATCTAATTCAACTTACTGATTTCGCAGTAGCCATCATTACGACCACTGACAAAATATTAAGTCCCAGTAGAGAATGTAAAAGCAACAAAAAGTAAAAATTTATTCTTAAAAATCTAAACTTTCCAAGTTCAAATTAGATGTAAAGTTAAATTATGTAATATTCAGAAAATCAAAGCACTTTTCGAATGTCAGCAGTAGCTGTACTTGTCTTAATTCCTTTCCGCTCAAACACTTCCTCTAGAAACATAGTTTCTAGTCCTGGTATAACTGGTAAGCCTTGTCCCTATAAAAATTACCTCCTAAATCCGACCTTCCACTGCGTTTGGAAACTGTTAACTCTAGAAAGTTTCGATTTCAAAGGGGCAAACTGACAACTTAGATAAATACGGGGATAACAAATTTGACAAATATTTATCTTCATATTCTTCAGTTTCCTCAAGTGCCCTCGCCACCGAGTTTTCAGTTTTAACCAGCTGTTGAAATAAATGTATTCGAGCACCCACGAAGTTAATGCGCCACCGGAAATGTTCTCGGAATGAAAAACATGGATCAAAATTAAAAGTACATTTTTAGTGTCGGACTCATAAAATGACTCACGGAATAAAAGACCAAAACAACACTGGGACTTTTACCACATCTCCAGTACAATGAGACTAAGATGGATCTTGCAGACGGATAACTGTCATTGTCCACCTAGCCGCATTTCTGCTTGAAACCTACAATCGACCAGAGATAGCTGTCAAATACTTGGATGTCCTGTCGCTGTTGCTAATACCAGTGAATTCGAGTATCTCCGAAATCAATGTCGAAATCATGGCATCTCGTTACGTCCGTAGTAGAATTTAATTGATAGTTGCCGAACCAAAAGCCCGTGCAGTAATCCTGGCGAAACATGCGGAACGATGCTCTTTTAATTTGGTCCTCAGGAGCGTGACCTCAAAAATGAGTAGCATTTTGAAACGGATACAAATTGTCTTATTAAAACAGTTTAAGGATGTTGAAGTTGCGGCTTGAGCCGACGTCTACGAAACTTTTGTCTGGTTTTCTATTTGCCAATTGTACCAATTCCTCGCGTCTTTAGTAACAGCTATCAAGTAACAACAAAAGTAACTTTGTTTTTTGAAGACTATCGCAACTGTAGTTCCACTGATAACAGGAATTCTTTCAGGACACAATTATTTTATAAGAACCACAAGAAACCATGTCAAATAGTCCTCAACAAATTGTTGTGCAGTAGAGTCCGGCTCATAGGTCCCGTAGGAGTTATGGCAACGCAACCTGCTTCACCTTCCTAAGACTTCTAGAAAAGATAGAGGAAAACATGAAACTTTAATAGCAAACTAATCCTTCTGGTAGTAACTCTGTTCTGTACGGCAACCCACTGGAACCTGCCAGCAAGCCCGTTGACGATTTACCCGTGCAATGCGACACTGCCGGAATTGGCTTTCTTCTTCCAATCTGCAACAAAAACTTACAAAAATCAGTCTTCTTTGGCACCCACTTGCGATCATCATCCAATTGTAATGTTCATCACTAAACAGCTAAAGAAGGCTCATGTTTTAAATACGCTCGCTGCTTCCACAATCGCCCCCATTTTAATGCCCTATTCGCAACTTTTCCTATAGGGACGGAGTCTTTGCCTCAAGAGTAATAAATTTCGGCGCTAAGCGCTCACTATTTCTAAATGTGCGTTCTACAAAGTTCACACTGTCTACAGTTATATACTATGAGGTCCGTCAAAACACTTTCGATGCCATGATTTAGGTGTGCAGTTGGCTTTCTCTATTGGTGTGAAACTGTTGGTTTTTTATGTAGAGAGGTTTCATTCGTTGACTGCGGTTATGGCAATCGTGTTGGCACTTTGCTGGGACATGTGGTTTTGAAGTTGATGCTTCATTTTAGGTGATTCAGCTGTAAGATTGTTTGATTTGAAACTTTCAGTAAGAAGGCATAGCAGTTTAGTTTTTGCCGTGGGACTTCTTCAGTTAGTAAGGGTACATGCAACATGTGCCCGATGAAACATGCAGAAAAAAAATCTGGCAAAGGTGTTCAAAATTGTAAAAAATTCATTGTGGAGAAGAGTCTAAAGGTGCAGCTGTCGTCGACGGAAATACTGTTTGCACTAGTCAGCTGGTAGAGTACCTTTTACTTGCTCCAAGGTTTGTAAATGATTTTTATCCACAACTGCTTTTCATCGTTACTGAGACTTCCGTTTTTGGCGAGACTTCTACGATGTAGTATTTTTATTTTTATCACCATCACTTCTGTTATCCTCAGCGAGATATACTTGCGATTAGTTTGGTGAATTTGCTTCATTGTTTCGCCTTCGTTGATATTCGAGTCCTTTTCCAGCCTTTTCTTCGATTTTATGGTGGATGAAGAACAGAACCTTGCTTCTGGCGAAGGGCCAGCAGAGCTTCTTCCGTTGTTTTGCTACAGTCCGGAGCCGTTTTTTCCGTATTTCTGGGAGGTCGATAGCATATACGCTGGAGTCGCCTAGTACAGTCTTTGCTTTTGATATGTGGCCTAACCAGTTTTGGGAAAAAAAAAAAGCAAAAATTGCTGTCGCTTTGCGGGCCTGGCGTAATTTTGTGAGTCGTTTTTTAACAGCTAAGGCGGCTTGATTTGGAGGAACTAGATTTCCTGTTTTTACAGAATATTGACTAGACTTTGTTTCTCTTTGCTCTTGATATTCAAGTACAACTTTATGTTGTTGTGTATTGGTCCGTCGCTTGCTGAAATGAGATGAGTTTTCTTTAGATGGATTTTGCTCACACTCGAATTCTCGACGCCTAATTCCCGGTCTGGGGGCACTCACTATGCTTTAGAATCTGTGTAACATGCACTTTTCGATTTTAAATTCAGGAAGTAGAAATTTGTACAAGTTTTTGAGAAAAAAAATATTTTCATAAATCTGGAAGTGTTCGTCACTTAGTGAACGAGGGTAATCATTTTCATTTTTTAGAAGCTACTCGACATGCTCCTTGTGTTATGCCACTCTGCCACTGTATTTTAATGGTGATGATCATTTGGTTTTTATAACAGGAAGCTGTAGCTTTTCTTAAGCACATAGATCAAAGCAGTACGGACTCATCAACGAAAATGAATTAGTTTTTGCTAAAAATTACAAAGAGTTTTAATTCTGTGTTTTCGTGTCAAAAGGTGTACACTTCTAGAAGGTAATGCATGGTTTTGAGCTGTATAGGATTAGGCTCTGTAAAAGTCTGGAACTTGGGTGTAAGATAAGCTCCTCTGAAATGAGACGACGTTAACGGGTAACTTTGATAGATAACTTAGTTTTTTAGCATTTGCGAAGTTACTTGGTGTTGGATTGATTACAGATGACTTTGGTGAGTGGCGTCTTTCTAGCAAGAAGTTGTTTTAGTGAAGGTAATATTACCAGAAGAGAAAGCTTAGACTGCCTCTGAGGATTTGTAGCTGTATTTGCTTTAAGTGTTACGAGTCGTGCGAGCGCTTCTATTTGTTATAAGAGCGATACATAGTAGAGGACAGATTTCCTGCTGCTGACTGTGTTATGTTAGTTCGTTTTTCGCTACGGTAGCATTAATTTTACAGGGGACGTCAACGCTTGTGTAATCTAATCTTTTTCGTTTTTTTCGTGTTTTGTATGTAATTCTGCATCTGGAAGTTATGAAGTATATAATTTATTTTTAGTCTGATGCGCGAAGTGAATGGTGATGATTACCGCCGAGGGTTCAGTGCAACAATGCCTCCGGTAAGTTTCATTTGCTTTCTGTTCGAAGTTTTTCATTTTTTTAAAGATATCAGTTTAAGTTCAAATTCAACTTTCATGTTTTTGCAACTCCTTTTCTTTAGTATTTGAAATGTTTGATTGGTACTTCTGTCGTGTAACGTCAAAAATCATTAGGGGCTGACAAAGTGCAGATATGAATTATTATTGTTATTATCTTGTTTGTATTGATGGAGGAGGAAGCTTTTTATAGCTTACTTAGATTGCATTGATGAAAGAGTTCTGTTGCATTCAGATTCGAGATTTCCAGATATAACATGCCCACATAGCACATTTCCACTAATTTGAGTGTTAGACTCACTGTTCAGGGCATTTTTAAATTATTCATTGTTATGTTCTTGTATTCCTTTAATTTGGGAGAAGTTTGTCGTGACTTTACACCATTTTTTCAAGTATTACCTTCCCCGAGAAATGGATGAAAAAAGTTGCTGTTACGCTAAGTTTTTGTCTATTTCAGTAGGATTTAGGACTACATACTGATCCAACTTGTGATAGGACGTTTCTCGCTGAAATAGTGCGCAACTGTGCGCAGTTCACCGCGTATGCTCGTTAATGAGAAACAAAGGGATGGGAATTTGAACGATATATGTAGGAAAAACAGCTAAGCTACTATTTGCAGGGCGTGGGAACTTTCAGGGTCTGGATTTGTGTATTGAGTGAAGGCATGAGCGCAAGACATTTGCTCAGTTTTAGAGCCGTAAGTTACTTTTTCGAAATTCTCTATTGTTGGAGGGTTATAAGGGTGTGGAGGTAGAAATTTGGAGGTTAGTTAGGCTTGCTCCTGTAAGTTTTTTAGATATGGTTTTTAGCTTTGATTGGTGCAAGATATATTATGTGCCATTTTATGGTATCATTTTTTTTGTCAAAATTGCAAGTAGCGAAGAAATTGCGCAATATTTTTTTGCAGTCCAGTCCCAGCTTTGATTCTAGAGGGGGCTTCTCGCGGTCACGGAACGCTAGGCTAGGTAGGATGTTATTTCGATGTCATTATATCTGTTAACTTCCTAAAAAGTTTTCTTCAGATTTGACTCTGATGTGGCCAAGAATTTTTGATTTTTTGTCATTTTGTTTATTGGGAATTTATTATAGACACCAAGACACTTCAGAATTTTTGGCAGCATTTTTAGAATTCTCATTTGGTTCTTTTACTGAGATAGTCACTTCATTGTATTTAGATAGGAACGATAGGGAGACATTTTCTTCAAGTAGCAACGGTGGTTTTCGCTCGAATATGCGTGAGGCACGTCGGGATGACGGCGATACTTATGGGCATTCTCGTGGTGGGCACGGGCAGTTTTATGATAGTTTTAGTCGTGGAGATACGGCAAATTATAGCAGGAAAGAAAGGAGTGACTTTTCGGAAAGAGGTCACAAATCGTTTTCTTCTTCTGAGGATTTGGCTGATACTGGTTCGAGACGTGGAAGCCGAGGACAGACATTTGGTGGAAGGCATTTTCGGGAAACAGAACGTAATTTTTATAAATAATATTGGTTTACCTTGTAGGTTTTGATAAAATGAAGTGTAGTGTAACAAATCCCTTATTCCCTTCAACAGCTACTTTATTTCATTTTTGGGAACTAGAAAGTAGAGATGGTTCCACCAGAGTGGAAAAGTTTTGTCTTTAGGCGACCGCGACGTGGGCCATGACAGTGTCGTAAAAGGGCGAGTAAGTTTCATTGTAGTACAGAAGATACAGTTCTTAATAGACGCAAGAACAGATTAACATTATATGGGTTTGCTGAGCGTTACTATGCTTCGGTTTATTTGTCTTCTGTTTCATTCCGATCTTTTTGTAGGTTGATTTAAGTTTTGTGAGTTACGTTTTAAAATTGAGAAGTTTTTGACTGTAGCGTTAGAAATGTGAAATTTTAAACCTGAAGGTAAAAGTTTTGCTTATATCATTTTAGTACGAAGGAGAATTCGGTACGAGAGGGCAAAGCTATGCAGAAGGTCGTGCTTTCAGTAGGCTTTTATTTTAGTATTTGCATTTACTTGAAAATTTGGTAGCTTAGGTCATCAGTTCCACTTCTTTTTTAATTTTTGCAAGACAGGATTGGTAAGCTTAGGAATTTTAAAGCAAAATTTAGTTGGGATTTTGAAAACAGGTTCTGTTTACGAATTTTCCGCTGTTACTTCTGCTGTTTTGTTATAATCACCTTCAAAAAATCAGGAAATGGAAGGTCAAGAGTTACATGCACATCTGGTTGGACAGATGATTCGAATAATGAGGAATACCGTTTTCAAAAATTTCAAGAGCGTAGAAGTGGATTTGGTGATGATGACGACGACGGTACTGCACGCAGTGTCGGAGTTGGTGGTGGCTACGGCAGAGGGATGACGGCGAACAACTTTGATGGATTTGGTGAACCTCGTTTGAACAGTAGAAGTAGGTTTAACAGCGACCAGTCAGACGGCTGGGGTTCGCCGGAGGCTAGTAGAAGCGGACGCTTTGGTAGCTACGGAGGAGCAGGGCGTAAGTTGGATTTTGAGTCGGTGTCGTATGGCTGCATTAGTTTTCTCAGCTTTCAGCGAAGTTTTTTCAGGGTCTAACGATGCGAGGTCCACAGACTCTCAACGACCCAGGGCAGGTTTTAAAATCTGTTATAATAGTTGCATTTTTTGAAATAGGTTTTCTTATGTTAAACCATTTTATTTTTTGTATGTTTGTCACATGTTGTTTTTTTATCTTTTATAAAGTTGTCCAATGACTTATACCTGCTCCATTTGCTTTTAGTTCAGTAGCAGTTACAGTAAACGCGGAGGGAGATCCGGGTTTGGAGGCGGTCGTGAAAATGATGAAAATTGTGAGTTTAGGTTTTCTGGCAGAGGAAGAGAGGCAGATTCAGGGCATTTTGGGTCACGAAGGTTCTCAGGTAACGTGTTTAAATAAGTGGCAATCGGGGCCATTATCTTAGAGCAAAGTCAATTTTCTTTTGAACCTCGTATATGCCTTAAATCAGCGGGTTTTTAGCAAAAGTGGCTTCATTTCCTTGGCTTTGCTACGTTACTCTGTTGTTTTCCATCACTTTTTCAACTTAATTAATTACTGTTAGTGGTTTCACAGTTGCAGAGTTAACGAAGATCCTATAATTTACTTTGATTGCGGTAGTGATCTTCAAAGTTAGTGCTTCAAAGCGGTGAGTTTTATTGTTGCAAGTGAGCTAAGATAAGTACTGTAGGTTGTTATGACAGTAGTAAATAACACTGCTGCTTTTTTTTTTGGTGAGGGGGTGGGAGTTGTGAGACTGCTCAGAGGTAACGGTTGGTAGGTCACGAGAAGATGGGGTGTATAAGGTTTTTGACAGTAGTTTTTAAGCCTAATTCTTTTGAGTGAAATTATGGGTTTTCTGGCTGATGTTGAAGGAAGAGGAGAGGACGGATTAGGGATTTTAGCTTTCCCTACGTAACTGGTCATACATTTGCCGATTTGGAGTTTGGTAAGGAAACAGTAGGCAGCTGAAGTTCGGCCAGTTTTACTTAATTCGTTCGAGATTTCTTTGTACCGCTTACATTTTTACGATTAAGATTTTTAAGGTTGAAAACATTTCTTCATATCCTCTCGGTAAGTTAGTCTTTGATATGAAAAATGAGACAGGGTCTGCCGAACTTCTTATTAGCAAACTCGGTTAGCAAGAAGTATCAGCAGAGTAAACTTTTCTGCAAGGGATTCTTGAAGAAGGGGTACTGTTAATGAGGAATTATTCATTTACATTTACTATTTACTCATATCACTGGTAATGTTGGTCACGTATTTAAATAGTAATTTTTCGTCATGTGCCGCTTGCATTATTCGTTTTTCATATATTTTTTTATGGCTAAGAGAACCTTTAAAATGAGGTTGGAGAGAGGGAGGAGGTCGTGTTCTTCCTAGATTTTGCACAGATAAAAGGTTTGAAAGTTGCTCCTTTTGGTTGCCAGATTTTACTTTGAAGAAATTAAGCTAAGAGATCTCAGTCGTAACAGATGTAGCTTTTTTTCTTTACAGCTAGTCCACTAAACTGAAGAAGAGCAGAAGATTCTTCGTTGGCTCTCAGTTTTTAAACTAGCGCTGTACAGTAGCTTTCCGAAGGTGAGGAAATGGGGTGTCTCAAACAGGGAAATAAGATTTTTGTTTTGATAGGATTTTGATTGTGGAGGCTTGCCGATGCAACTCTAAGTCATTGTGACTGCTATTGGGCTCAGCGCCGTTTAGATTTAGTGGGTAAATTTTCTCGTTCACAGTTATAAAAAAATAGAAACTAAATCATGAAATTGTAAACGCCAACAGTTAAGACTTTGAAAAACAATAAACAATTGCTGCCACATCATTTACAAAAGTTACCTAAAAGTTTAGCATATTTTTACGGAGTTCATTCCGGATGTCTCCGCATTACACAGTGGCATTGCGCCAAAGCCGCTGTAACTTCTCCAAAATGAAAGATATTTTGCACACAAAAAGTTTTACATTAAATTAGAAATGAATTCCCCTACAGATTCGCTTCCACCTACTCATTTCATTTGATTCTTTTTGTGGTTTCTAGGCGAATTGACAACAGATACACAAGTGAATGTGAGTGCTGTTTTCGTTCTTGTGCTGTAGTGTGTCGAGTTAAATTTTTAGGTGCAGAAGACGAAAGGTTTCGCAATTTTAATCGTCAGGACAATGATTTCATGAAAGGTAATAGCAATTTTTGGTGTTCTATTGTTCTTATTCTTACTGTCGGTACTGTACTATTGAATTTTTTTTGTGGAAACTGCTAGGTTGTGTAATGGTTACTGTGAAGAGAAAATGTGGTATCTTGCAGTCTTTGTTGGTTTGTAATGGCTTTCAGTTGAAGGATGTTAATAGTATATGAATGCGGGTCACTTCTTACTTTAGATGGTTTTTCAAGCATTAGATTAGTTCTTCAGAAGTTTCAAAATAGTAAAATTCGAGGCAGTTTCTTTGTTTGATAAAGCATTATAGATATGAATTGTAGTTGATTTATTTAGGCAATGTTCGTGAAGTGTCACGCTATGTACCTGAAGACAGGGCCTTGGAGGAACTTTATAAAGAAGATGCTGAAAACTCGGCAAACATGGTGAGGTAGATTCACTTCGATTCTGTGTATGTTATTTGGGGAAACGGCTGATTTTTGAATTGAGTCAAGAGGTATTATGACACCTATGACTTTTTAATATATGTTGTACGAAGAAGTGTTTATTTTTATACTCATTTTTTAGGAGCGGCTGGATGATTTGGACCAAGAAGTTCACGTTGAGGGCCACAATGTGAATGTGAAGGTTGCTCATTTAGAGTAAGTTTTGTGCATCTGGTTGCGTCATTTTGTGTTTCAAAGGTCATTCAACTTTTTTTTTTTAACGTGACAGATTCTATACTTTATTCTTTTAAAGAAAGTGGGAGAATGCTGGTATTGAAGACTTACTTTTAAAAAACCTACAGAGGTGCAGGTATTTTCAACCGCGAAGAATTCAAGCTACAGTTATTCCGCTAATAATGAATGGTAGGTGGTTTTTTTTTGAATGAAAATTTTCTTGAAGAACTGCTCGAATATTTTTTATATTTTAATGCTGACCTCTATTTGTTCTTCCCTCCTACAATGTTTTTCCCTAGGATATGATGTTATTGGACAAGCGGAAACCGGGAGTGGTAAAACGGCAGCGTTTATTTTACCGATCATCGATAACATTACGAAAACAGGTTCTAGCAGTGCATGTTCTCCCATAGCGCTTACAGTTGCTCCCACGCGAGAACTTGTTTTGCAGTTGTATGATCAAGCTAGAAAGCTGGCGTCAGGTAAATTTTTTCAGAGTAATTTTTTGCATTTTTTTTATTTCAACGATATATGTCTTGACAGGTTCTGGAGTTACGGTTGCAAAAGCCTACGGGAAATATAATGTTATGTCGAATCTGGCAGAACTTCAGCGAGGTTGTGATTTGTTATTTGCTACTCCAGGCCGCTTATTGGATTTTGTAAACAGAGGGAGGGTAAGTTGACATTGAAAGAGTGTGTATTCCAGTTTGGTTATAGATGTGCGGAAAGATGCTAGTGAGAGTGGATAGTTTAGGAAGTTGAAAGGCGATTTGTGTTACTGCCGTGCAGCGATTACCACGATACAAATAATACTAATTTTTGTAGATTCACCTGGATCATATAAGATATTTCGTGATAGATGAGGCAGATCAGATGCTTAGAGATACAAATGACTTTCAGGATAAGATGATGGGTCTAACAGAATCCAGCGGTTTCCCAAAGGTTTCTATGTTTTTTGTTGTAACTTTCCAGGTTTTCCGTGAGAAAGCGTCATGGCTCTTTATTTTGGTGATGTTTCGTTAACGT